GGGGAGACAAGATAGCAGTATTTCAGTATTTGAGGGATTGCCACAAAGAAGAGGGGGTCAAATTATTCTCCCTAGCACCGCGTAACACAGTGAGCTCCCGTTACTTGTCCCAGCTTCTAATGAGCAGTTCGAAAGCACGTAAATAATGCAAGTAGAAAAATAGGAACCACCTTTGGTAGGAAGGTAACAGCGTTTTGTGCGCTTTCGGTGTTTAGTCATGCCGGCCACATGACCACAGAGAAGTCTTCGGGCAGCGCTGGCTCTTCGGCTTTGAAACGGAGATGAGCACTGCCCCCTAGAGTCAGGAATGACTAGCATATATGTGGGAGGGGAACCTTTACCTTTATAACATATCAAGCTGATCAACAAAGAGGATTTAAAATCCAGGATGAAACAAAACATATCCAAAGAACATTTTTTTCTTCCAAGAATTCAGCTTTTGTAGGAGATAAGAAGTCAAGACAGTCGTTTGAGTCCAGATCAGAAACTTACACGGGTAATCCTCGACTTACAACCACTCATTTAAGAACCATTTGAAGTTACAATGGTACTAAAAAATGACTTATGACTGTTTTTCACACATATGACCGTTGCAGCATCCCTGTGGTTACATGATCCAAACTCAGACGCTTGGCAGCTGACTCATAGTTATGACACTTGCAGTTTCCAAGGGAATGACGTGATCCCCTTTTGCGATCTCCTGACAATCAAAGGCAATGGGGAAACCAGATTCACTTCATCTGCATGTGACTAACTTAACAACTGCAGTAATCCACTTAACAGCGGTGGCAAGAAAGAGGCAGAACTCCCTTAACTAATGTCTCGCTTAGCAACATAAATTTTGGCCTCAAAACGTGGTCAAAAGTCAAGGACTGTCTTTATCCCTTTATGTCTCCTATCTCGTTTCTTAATTTTGTTGCGTGCTTCCTTGTGCCTTGCTTTCTTCTTCTTTAGCCCCATTATAACCTCTAGCGAAACAGGTTAGGTAGGTTGTGTTATATCGGTAGAAACTTGCAGATCCTGCTTGAGCTGCGAACCATAGAAAACAATGTCCCAAGAATCCAGAAACAGGGACCTCTCATTTTTCACCCCATTAAAAATATCGGCTGTGATCCCATGAAAAACTTTGTTTCTTGCCCTGCCTCTTGGGTTTTTCGCTGGGTATTAACCAGTGGAACCACTTACCTCCAGAACAGTGGTGGGTTCCGGATCCCACAAGGATGCACGCAGTGTGTGTGTGCGTCTTAGCACCTCCGCAAGCCTCCACGACACTCCAGCTGCTCAGCAGAGCATCCCGCAGGTGCTCTACACGCTGTGTGCAGAATCGCCGAAGATTTAAAAGACCAGTAAGGAACTCAAGCGGGCGGGTGGGCCCTCCGGAGCACTGTACCGGAATGGTATCCTGTGCGCCAGGCAGGCTCCATTACGCCCCATAATGCAATGTATATGCAACACACACACACACAAACCAAT